AAGAAATGTCAAAAAATATTAGATAACCTCATTAGTTAAGATCTAAGAATGAGAACGGTTTCTTCCACTCAAGTGACTCAACCCTTGTAATCGTTTATCTATTTCAATAATTCTGTAGATTCGATGCAGCTGAATTTCTACGACGGATTCAAAATGGACGAATAGTTTTCGCCGGCGATTCCATCGGAAGAAACCAATGGGAGTCTTTAATATGCATGCTTATGCAAGGAGTCTCAAACCAATCTACAGTATACGAAGAACATGGGAATCCAATAACGAAACATAATGGGTATCTATCAATTCAGTTCCATGAATACAACCTTACCGTCGAATATTACAGAGTACCTTACCTGGTGATGACTGACCGGCTGCCACCGCATGCGCCACCACAGGTTCGGGGAGTTGTTAGGGTTGATACCCTGCACTGGTACTCCGAAAAATGGATTGGAGCAGATGTTCTTATATTCAGCGCTGGACATTGGTGGAACAAAGACAAAACTACAAAGATGTAAGAATTTTTCTATTACTAGTCATGTTTCAAACAAACGATGCATGGATATGTTTAATATGATGGACTCAATAGAAACGTAGTGACACATGGAGCGCTATTTCATCCAAAAATCGATTTTTTTCCGTTGTCACTTGGGTCCCCTTTAATTTTTTAATGTTACGTTAAGCGTACCACGGTTAAATACCTTTTAGGTTTGACTCTCAATGCCTATTTTATTATTTTATATTAAAGGATACAGTTGATTTGGCCAATTTTTTTGACTCATTCAAAGGGTAATAACGACACTTCATATGAATTTAATGAATTTAACCGCCTTTTTTGATTTAACATGTTCCTCGACTGAAAAGGAACTTAGTGAGACATGCAAGCATATGTTTAGTACGCTCGACTCGATTGAAATGTAGTGCAGTTCACTAAGGTTTTTGTTTACAGGGGATATTATTTCCAGGAAGGAGGAAGTGTTAACATGACTATGGATGTCATGGAAGCTTTCCGGCGATCCCTCAACACATT